AAAAGGGTATCATTTCTCACTCCTAAAGCACCACTTGTTCCTGGGGCGTTTGGTAGGGAACCTGGTACTACACTAACTTACATGTGGTAGTTTGAGAAGGAAGAAGGAAGTATGCAAGTAATAAAACTGATTAAGTATCAGACCACAGCTCTAAATCCATTTTAATGTGTCTTTGTTCTCCAGCATTTCCAGATAAGCATTTTATGATCACTGATGTCCAATTAGCTATGTTATGCATAATGTCACAGGGAAATGGAGACACAAAACAATAAAGCTTTTTTCTGAAAGGTTACATTCAAACTGTCTTACATATTTACAAATCCATATGGCTTCATAAATAAGTGTAGTGTGTGCAGATCCAGAAAAACATCCAGAAAAACTGCATGCGCTGCAAACCTTGTATAAACACTATAGATTTGGCCATGCTGCCAAAGATTTGCAATAAGCTTTTGTTTACAACAGCAAAGAACTGTCCAATGCTTTTATTATTTTGCCCGCTACTCTGAAGCACTCAGCAGTCTTTCCACTCAGCATGTTAATTATGGAAGATGCTTTTTGTATTACATGATTTATTTAAAGCCTGTTCAATCTCAATTTATGAAATCCAGATTGTGAAGCATCATATACCAATTTATTCTTTTCCTTAGCATCTTTGGTAACTAATAGCTATTTCACAGAACACTATGCCAAATAAATATACTTTAATACCTTAATCGAGCATTTAGGAAGCTGCTTACAAAGACTCGATGCACAGTAGCATCTCTGCAGTTAAAGGTCAAATACAATTCCCATTTTGACCTCTCTCTTAGCACGCACAAAACCAAAACCATACATGTATATGCTAGGGTTAAAATCTGGATTCTAGCCTTTTTTTTTTTTAAAGCTGATTATTTTTCCCAACTTCATTTCCCCCCCCCCTCCTTTAAACAACAAAAACACATTTTTAGTGTTTTCAGATGTCGAGATCTTTTATGCTAGCTAAAGACAATAATTTGAGTAGAAAGAACCAGCCATCAGCCAAAGTCCAGTCTTTTGAAGATAATACAGCTACGTGACAATTTCTGGTAGTTGGCCGTGGAAAAGTCAGGATCGGTTGGTGTCTTATATCCTGCCTCATTTTTCTCATAAATGTGTGACATACATCTGGCTCTGGAAGAAATTTCAGTTCATCCTTTAGGCCCACCAGTATGCCTCATTCTTCTTGATCCTCTTTGCAAACAAAATTTCATAATCATTTTATCTTAAAATCATACACTGCATTAATAGCAAACCATACCGCTGAAATGCTAAAATCCAAAAATAAATTTGGGTACAACACATTGTGCCAGTGTAGCACTGTGTTCGTGTGGGCATATGCACACTACTTCAAACCACAGAAAACAAAACCAGCAAAGAGGATCAAAGTCAGACCTTTTACAGTTAACTATTAGGAAAAAAACTGCAGAAGGTAACTAGAAAAAAAAAAGGACTACAGTTTCTGAAACCTACTGTACACCAACGGGCACAGGCGGTGTTCTAAACTTGCTGCCCTGCTACTGGCAAGGAGGGCAGACTATCAAAATTTACAACTGGCACTTTCACGTTTCAGCAGAACATTTCCATAGTTTGTTAAACACTTACTGAACATACGCATACACCTGCCCTGCAAACTCTTATCATTCAACATCAATTAGTAGTATTTTTTGGCAAGCAGCACTTTGGAGCCAGAGGAAAGGTGCTAGCTAGAGAGGCCTGGGAGAAGATAACAAGCCTGGGAGGAGACGTACTGAAGTCGTTCTAGTACATCAGACATACAAATCCCACTGACGCATAGGCTCCACAAGCTTTGTAGTTTCTCCACTTCGGTATTACACTGCACAAGAGCATTGGTGGTTTGTCTGGGGCTCAACAACAGTGCAACAAATAGAAGACAGTAAGCTGTATGCACCGGTTATACCTATTAATGTTGTCTCTTACCTACTTGACTTTTTATGGTCAGCTACCTCACCATTAATCTTTATGTTCTGGAAAAAAACTACAGAAACTTATTGGAATAAAACCACTAGAAGCATTTCTGGTTTTCCATTATGGGGAGTACCATCGGATATTCTCAAGAATTCTGAATCTTAGGACTCAGCAGAACAACTTATACTAAACCCACTGAATTTTGCTAAAAGGCAATAGTTAAAATCCCTGCATATTTGGAAAGCTGAGGAAAAATATGTCAAAGTAAGACGTGGCTTCTACCTTCCACATGACTTCATTTCTCCACTTTGTACTGTCTGTCATTTTAACATGCATTGCGTTATGTGCTTCCTTCAACTGATATTGGCAGACTTTATTAAGCTATTACACAATTTTGACAATATCCTGCCCTATACTTAAATAATGCCTTTAGATGTGCCATTGGTATTGTAAGCATTAATCTCCTACCAAAAGAAATTTAAAAAAATCAGAGTAAAATCCCAATAAGCTAGAGTCATCATCACAGTGTTTTTGGCAGCAGTGGCTAACAGCTTTACAGACATTTTATTTAAAATTTGCTTAGACTGTTATAGAGGGCATTTCAAAGAAAATTCTGCTAATTTACTCAGTCAATAATGATGGATTTGCTTCAATATCCAGAAAAGTGAAAATATATTGAGCTAAGATAACATTCACCTAAGGTTATGCCCTTTAAATGATCACCATGGGGCGGGGAATGGAACAATGTACTTCCACTGTTACTTTGAATGCAAGACCTTTATATATGCTATTTTGCCAGAAATAGGAATTACTCTTGTTTTTTAAAGTCTGACCCGATGCAGCTGCTTTGTTTAAAAAGAAGTTAATGATTACTTTTGCATCCACTTCAACAGATAAAAAAAAGAACATTATTCCAAAATCAAAGCAATATAAGCAATTTTTCTTTGTGGTCTGAAAGAAATTAAATGGAAAAAAGCCAGGTTTTTCTAAATTCAACCATCATACTTTCTCAATTAACATTTTGCAATGTTTGACAATACTTAATAAAATAGCTTTAATATTACCTAAAATGTTGCAATTTAGCCTTTATAAGTTACGCCAAACTTTCCACAGTTCATTCTCCAAAGCCTACTGACTCATAGCAAAAAAATCAGATTTATAGTTTTGTCCTAAAAATGATTTAAGCTAAAATACCAAAAAGTTGCAAGTTTCCAGGCCTCCCTTTCATACTACATTCATTTAGGAAATATTTTCATGACAGGCAATCCTAAAAGAGAAGCAGAGATGCAGTATATTTAACAGGCCAAGTTAAGAGTTCACACAGGAAAAAAAAAAGTAAGACTTTCAAAGACCACATACTTAAACAGACACTATTAAAGCTATCATATTTCCTAACTTCTGGTTTCACAAAATACATTGTTTTCATTTGCTAACAGAGCAGGCTGTACAGTAAAACAACACATTAAGATGACATTTGAGTATCATCTCTGGTTACTAATAGCTAGCCCTTCTCCCAGATTTTTTTTTTTTCAAAACTCATTTCATAGTTTAACTAAATCTACCTTTATCTAAATAGAGATATGAGAAAGATTTATACACACACACACACACATATATATATATAAAATGAGCTTGAAACTAGGACTTAGAATACTGACTCTCAAAGATGAGCTATAATGTGAACAAACTTTTCTACAGTGTCAGGCTATGCTTAATTTTGGCAAATTAAGCTGGTTATTATTTTTTACTGCCCAAGAAATGTGAAATAAATAAGCTATGGCAAAACTCTTAGAAAACACTTAAACAACACTTAAAAAGTGTTTTCTAATTGAATATTGGTAACAGGAACAGAAAAAAATGGGTTATAAGGCATGCGAGTTAAAATTCTGATTATTGCCATAAATGGAGCTTTGCAATTCAAGACAAAAATCCTGAGTAAATTAATTTTAAAAGTTCAACGCACTACTTAAACAACTTAAATGCAAATCTAATCCTGAGATCATCTGAAACAGTTTTAGTACAGCATATGCTCAATACTCCAGACTTCTCTTGAACAATTGCTAGTGGGAACTTAACTCTTGAAAGCTGCTTTAGAAAATATCAATTAGAAAATACCAAATCCTACACCAAATGCCTTGCAGATAACCGAGTTAACAATCAAGGATAAAAAAAACCTGCTTCTCCATTTAACAAACAGGCATTCCAAACCAGCATGCGATTTTGTTCTAGTCACCTACCTCTAACAACAAATAATTCCCAGAAGTATTTCAGTGTTACAGAGATTTTGTTCTGCTCCCATCACAAGCAGGCAAAATTAGCATTATCGTGAAGCCAGGTTAAACAATACACCCAACTAAGAGTGACAACTGGATACAGCATTGCTTTTGTACTTTTTGATATTTAAGTTTATACTCTTGCAGGGCCAGTAGTTTTCCATAAATCGGATTCTGTATTCAGAGATCTCTTATCTTCACCTTTTTAAAAAAAAATAAATTTAATTGCTATCAAAAGCAGAGGAAATCTACAGTCTTTTCTCCACTAAGTCTAGCATGGTACCCCAGAATCCACTGGTGTCAGTGGCATTATGCAACTTCAAGGGGAACGAAGCTAATCAGAAAATTAAGTCTAAAGGCAGTTTTAGAAATACCGTGGTTCTCAAAGGAGACAACTGTAACTTCCACGAGCACAAATTTATATATATATTATATAAAAATATATATTAGATAGTAATATGAAAATTATAAACAAATCTCTCTTCACCTACATATCAATTTTAAGAGTTGCCCAGATAATGTCCTTTTGATAATGTTGTTAAGATTCTGGTGTCACCGACAGTTCTATTTTCTTGGCAAGCAATTGTACATTTTATTTCAAGTATTAGCTGTCACGCAATATAAATCCAACTGTGTTTAAAAGCATACTTTAATTAGGCAGGTACCCACCTCTCTCTTTTTCTTAAAGGAGATTAATTTTTTAATCATGAAATATGAATGACCGTTAACAGCGAGGTATAAAAACAGTAGATTTTCCATAGGTATGTAAATAGAGATACTTACAGCCGTTCAAGTTGTTTTAGATCCTGAAATGCTCCACGTTCTATCACACTAATCTGATTTTCTTCCAAGTGTCTGCAATTCCAGAAATACCAGTTAATTTTTAGACAACAGAATAAAAGAGCTTCCCCACTTCTCTTCACACATGCTACAAAATTGCTTTTCACAGAAGTACCAGTACCAGTTATAATTAGAGATTATTAAAAAAAATCTGGACAGACCAGCACTGTTTCTTTAGATCACTAACAGGAAACAGATTCAAAAATTGCCTCCTGACTGCCAGATTTGGTAAGTGTTTTTGTTCCTAAACTTTTATAACCATAACCAATATGCTCAGAAAGATGTTGGTCTAGAGGCTGACTATTACGTCCTTAGTATACTACTCTTAGTTTACGTAATATAATTGAGATAACTGACTCCTGCAGCACATAGCAGGAGCCCACTCAATGTCAACATATTTTTTTGCCCAGTCTTTATGTTCTGCAAAGATTTCAGGCTTGCCCCAGAGTAAACCATTTGTAAGTAATCCCAAGTGGTTCAATCCCTCCAGAAATACAGCCATGGCAGCTATGTGTGACAACTGCATGCGGTCCCGCTGTACGACAGGGTGCAAGAACATAAGGGAACACCCCCAGGTTTCCGCTGTGTCCGACCCTGCTTTTCCACACCCCCTGAGGCTGAGACAAGGCTAAGTTATAAGCAACGGAGACTGACTTCTCTTTGATTTACACTGTGCAGGAAATGACTATTCATCTACACAGCAGAAACGCTCTTTATAGGTAAAGTGAAAGCCAAGGAATAGAGATACCACTAGGCCCATTTAAGGCGACCTTTTCCCTCTCTCAGTGCTGCTTTCCAGCACACACTCATTTTCTGCTTCTGTAAGAGCACTCAGATGCATGGACTAAATCTCCAGGCTCTCTGACCATTTTACTTGCCTTTAGCTACAACACAGAAAGGAAGAACTTAACACAGTAAGCCTGGGCTCGGCTAACACTAACTAGTGAAAAAGCACTATTCTTGCCTGTTCTCAACAGCCACTCCTCTGCACTCAATGCTACGAGGATGCTCAGAGCTGTTCAACTGGATAGCAGTTGCGAAGATAGACAGCAAGAGAGCATTCCACAGCTAAGGCCACATATGAAGATCAAAAAACAAAATTAAAAAAATCCAAACATGTGAACCAGAGAGGCATGTTCTTAAACGGAGGGGGAGGAAAAACTGCATGAGGAAAGGGAACAAGCTGAAGTTATAAAGGATAAAAGGAGAAGAAGATGCACAAAGGAATGTTTTGCATCTATGTTGTCAGTTTGAGACCGGAAGCTTTTTTTTCTGTTGTACTGTTCTACCAGTTTCTGGATCACTTGTTTGTGGTCCTCACGCTGATGCCTGAAAACAGGAGGAGACTACCTTCCTAGGAACTCTGGGACAGGTTTCTGTTTCTGTGCTTCCCACTCTACTGCCATCACACATGGAGGAAAAAAAGAGGTAAAAATAGGGTGTCAGTAATTTAGAATAGCCAGAATTATGAAGAGACCATAAGAAAAAGCAAAGAAAAAATAAGAAAAATCTGAAGGACTTCTAGAGACCAAAAGTGCACAAAGTAGAAGCTGCATAAAATAAAATCAGAAAAACAGCAAACACATACCAGACATGACAGGAACATGGAGAATAGGGAAACACGCAACAATGAACAAAAACGGGCACATTAGCAGACAGTGAAATGGCACATCTTGGGTTTCAGATGGTCTTCATATATTGGAAGACAAAGCCAATATAAAAAAAAAAATATATATATAAGGGCATTCAGTATAAATGACTGCAGCGGCATTAGGCAATGCCTGCCACTATAAAACAAACCAACCAAACCAAGTCCTGACATTAATGATAGTATCGCACATGTATTTTAATAGACTTCCAAAATGGTATTGACAGTTGGGATGGGAGCCAAGGAAATCTAACCAACTCCACAGCGCTCTCATCTCTATGAGAGAAACACCATAGGAAAAGTCTTCCAACAGATTTGAGATGTTTTCTTAGTATATGCCAACTTGTTCAAAAGTGTTAAGGTAGCAGGAGAAGAGACTTTCTTTTTCATTGGCAAGATTCACTTATTAATTGATCGAATTATCACTAAATAACTGTAACAGTTCAACAGTTGCAGCTTTAAGAACTTATTTTAGAAGATTCTCAAAGGAAAACATTAACTGCAGAGGGTAACCTTAAGAATTACAGAAAGGAATTTCCAGGGGGTGCTGGTGAGATGACTTGTGTGCTGCTTAACTTCTGATCGCTGTTTGTTTCAGAAGAAGCAGTCAGAGTGACAAATTCTATAGACTGATGTTTCCCCTTTTGATGTTCAAGGCCCATTTCCAAGTACAGTTAAGCTCTTGACTGATACTTTTAGATCAATAGACAGCACCACCTAAAATTTTTGTATTGATTACTTCGTATTAGACTAAAAAAATTCACAGGTTTCCTTGGGTATAACTTCTACAGCTATCAACTATCCTTAATCTAAGTTCTTGCTTAATCTTCTGCAAAAGTGCTATTAATGGGACTGTACCTTAAAGGGACCAAAATCTGAAAGTCCTATTTGCTAGCGTATCAGTATAATTGATTTATGCATAAGTGATTGTAAAGTGGACCAAAATTTTTACCACTGTATTTATTAAAAGCCAATGATAAATACAAACAATTAAATAACTCTGGAACTACATCCAGACTTTAGCATGGAACTAAAATTTACTGTTTCGCATCACAAACTGTTCTAGTTGCCTGGTTTAAAAGAACACTAATAACTGAAAAACGTGCAGAAATTACCAGCATTTGATGTCTAGAATTATGTACGTTCTTAGTACTAGCACCCTAAGATAGTCTTGTAAAGACAGACAAGTTTTGTGTTATACTCACAAGACACGGAGATTCTTCAGTCCCGTGAAGTCTGTCTTCGTGATTCTTGTGATATTATTTTTTTCTAGATCACTGCAGGGGAAAAAGAAACCAGCATTCAGGCACTATAACTGACATCCAAAATTCTGTTAGCAGAAAGTATCTCCATCGGTGGAGCATCTATCAGCTGCTCAAATTGTACAAAGTAATGTTTCCACTAAAATCTCGAAATGCAAGCCATCAATCTTGATGCAGTTTGCCTCCTCCGAGTACACTGCTCTCATACAAGAAGTTTCTTCCATTTTTATTTCTAGTATCAGTGCTCACTATATGCTTCTTTCTCCCTCAAGACTACAGTCTTGTAAGAGGCTAAATATATTCAAGACCCAATTGGTATAATACAGCTAAAACAGAGTACTCTGCCCCAAAATGAAGATCAAATTCTGGGGTTATTCTAAACCCAAGTGAGTCTAGCCTCCTGTAGAAACTTAGGCTACACAGAGCTCAAGGAGAGAATAACTTACTTCAGTGACTCCTAAGTGTGGTCTTACCCAAATGATTGGAAGATTTGCAAAATTAGAGAAGAGCTTATGGGGTTTTTTTTTGGTTTTGTTTTGTTTTTTTCCCCCCAAGCATCCTAATCGGACAGCCTCCTGTTGCCCACTTTTTGGAAATGCTGGTTTTCAGAAGATAACTGTTAATCGCACTGAGCTGTTTCCCATGTACGTTCACCCTTTGCCAATTCCTGCATTCTATCTTTAAACTCTCAATTTCCTAACACCTCTGTTATGCGCCGACACACTTTCCTTGTGTGGTCACATACCAAGTATTACCTCCTGCATTGTGCTAATTTATGCTCTATATTCACAATTAATAAGTAACTGGCTGCTTCTCCACCATGGGGAAAAACCCACTGTAACCAGACACCTTGAGCTGCCCACTTTCCTGCAGCTTTTCTTTGGAGTGAGCACACCAAAAATACAAAAGAATTTCATGTCTAAACTTATATCTTAACAGAATAGACATCAACATCGAACACTCTAGTTTGAGACAAATTCTATTTAATTCAAAGAAGAGTCAAATTGAAAAATAAAGGAATTTATAAACTAATCCTTCTTTCAAGACTGATCCTATACTTAAGGATAGCTCTCAATGCACTAACTTTGGTGCCTTTAGAGTCACAACAAACCAAAAATAACTCCCTTTCTTTCCCAACATAAAGAGTCTTCCTGTAATTTCATTTCAAAAGACTATACCGAATACCTGCTGGTACTATAGATCCTATGTTGCTGTTCTCTCTCCTCTAGACTTGCCTTTACTAGGCACCCCTCAAGTTCTGCTGGTTGAGCACCTCCCGTTGTTTGGGGTTTGTTTGGGGTTTTTTTCTGTCCAGAATGTTTTACCTGACCTAGCGCTAACTTACAGGGACAAGGCAAACAGCTAGTCTTTCATCCTGGTCTTCAGCCATGCTTATTTTAACATAATAAGCAAAATGCAGCAAAATTACAATTAATAAAACCAGATATATTCTCCATCATATCACCACGAATTTGTTCTGAGTGTCAGCTTCCTAGGTACATGAAGCCTTTTATGAAAAATAAATTTTCTAATATTGGAATAAACTTTTTTCTTTCCAAGTCACATTTTATGTCTACCAAAAGCTGCTAAATACCAAAAATGCAAGCCTTTGGGGTAACAGTTTCCACGCCAAAAAAGCATTCAGTATTTTTCTAAAGATCATGAGATTGTAAACAATACATTCTGACAAATTTTGTTGTCTATTGCCATTGAATGAAAACAATCTAATATGAAAAGCTACCCATGAAGCTAGACATTTGTTTTCTAAAAGAGAACATCAGATCACAAACCCACAGCAGGAAGCAGAGGCTTTTCCTATGCAATTCAGTTTTACGATAGTTCCCGCATTAATGTGCGCTGGGATAACGCCTCTCCTGTATTCACTCCCATTTCTAGGAAAATTCAAGGGCAAAAAGCAAGATTACAGCATTATTTTTAAGAGCATTTGGCAATCATCTGACACCTGCACAAACCTCGACCTTGAAATAGTTTCTGAAAATCAGAGGGGTGTTCCTAAGTGCTGTTTCAAGTTGATGATTTCTGTAGGTACAAAAAGGAATTCAAGGAAAGGGGGGAAGTCAGAACTTCCAGGAATGACCTCAACTACCACGTTTGTATGCTGAAAAGTGCTGCATAGATGGCTGGCTAGGATGGCTTCTGAGTGCCTAGCAAGCAATACCGCAAACAAAAGGCAAAAGCTCTTGAAGTGTTGAGAACAGCTTAATCATTTGTAATCATTCATATACCATCCTACGGGGGGAAAAAGTGCTCCTGGCTGGCGCAATTTCCAGGAATTCTCCATCATGCAGTTCCATACAAGCCTTCTGGTACAGGCTGCTACTTACGCCCCTCTTTTTTCACCTCACATGAGGTCCTATTAGTAGGCTAGAACTACTATGTGAGTGTTCAAACATAAATGATTATTTCCTTTGAATGAAGATCATTTTTTTTCTGCCGACATGAAGTAATACTCTAAGGTATTAAATGAAAAGCAATTGTCATGGTAACAAATTTCATTTTTCTAGTGTGAACCACATTGTCAAGTAAAGGCAGTTACATATTTTGAAGTATAAGCTTGTTAAAAGGTACATTTTCATTATTCAGAGAAGAAACAGGACTGATTTTTTAGTATATCTACTAACTTCCCCAAGTGCTTCCAACCATGAAAACAGAGTTTTGTCCTAATATGAACACTATCCTCCACTTCCCAAAAATGTAAATATTTAGATGAGTACAGGTAATTGTACTCATTCATCTGAGGAAATAACTCTTCATATACCTAAAGATACATAATTATTTTCTCATGTGTTCCCTAAATCTCAGATGCAAACCAATATGGAATTAACTCCTTTTAATGTCATTTTAACATCCGGGTGGCATTCACTTACTGGAATTGAAAAGCTAAAAAACAAACAAACAAACAAACAAACCTGCCAAAACACCAACACAAAGAACTAAACTCAATACAGCATGAGCCACTTCATAACTGAGGGTGGCCTGGTACTTCGAAGCCTACAGTGACGATGATTAAGCTCACAGTTCATACTGACAAAAACCCCAGCCTCTATGTCTACAAGATTTGTGCCAGGGACAAACCAGCTGCAGTTTAAGACCTCCATCTTTTCCACGGCAACTTAATTTGCCATAGACAACAGGAAGAACAGAACAGATTAAGGACTATTTAAAAAAAAAAAACAAACTAAACCCTAAAATTCAGACCAATAATTCTACACATTGACCATAATGAGAATTTTTTACTGAATTCTGCCATTAAAAACAGAAGCTATATAGGCACAGAATACATAATACTTATGCATACCTTTTTCAAGCATTTGCACCAGTTTTGCTGTGAATCCTTCTAAAGTATAAGCAAGACATTAACAGGACAGCGAGATGTACTAGAGTGCAGAAATAAGCGTTTTATAATGTTGAAATCTATTTCTGATGGTTATTGATAAATGTCAAAATAATATTAATAAAATTCTTAAGTCATAACATGGTTTAAAAACAGATAGAACAAACTTTTAAGAGTTAGTTTATGCATCTTACCACAGGACATACTTAAAAATAATAGAAGAAACACATTCTCCTGTCAGGAAACCATTTTCTTTATCACAGATGGGAACTAAGGATAATGATAAGGAAAATGAGGGGAAAAAAATCCCTACATTTCAGCTACGTGAACAAGAAAGTATCCTTACTTGACTTATGTCAACTATATTTAAAAAAGGTCCGTAAAAGAAACAACAAACCACAAAACAACTACAGGGCACTTTCATTGCATGTACCAGCCACTCTTGTCCATTTGCGTTTATCCTGTTGATTGGATTGTGCTTTTCTCCAGGAATACCTTTGAACCACTGCCTACATTTTTCAGATTTTCCAGCTTACTTTCCTCTTCTGTTCTCAGTTCAGTTCTTCCACCCTGGTGCATCATTAACTACTCACTGGTGTGCCAGAGTGACCTGATTGCAAGAAGCATTGGAAGGAATTAAGTCTGCAGTAAGCAATGCATAAATAGCTTGCGTTTTACTTGCATGATGTTTCCCATCTGCTTTTCATGTCATTCGTTCAGAAGCTTTCCCTTGCTTGTATCTCAGGAAAGGTCTAGCAAAGCACAGCGTTAAGCTGGCCAGAATTCTCCAAGGCAGACAGGAGTCATCTAAGGTATATGGGGCACCACAGTGTCATTGGCCCTGCTTTTTGTCCATTTTGATGAGACTTAATTCCCAGCACAGCTTTACTCAGCTTGACCAACTCCACACCTCAGTTCTATTCCTCTCTACTTTCAGCCCCAAAACCACTCCTGCTATTCAGCATTCTTCCCCCAGTGAAATCTACAGTTCCCTATTCTGAAAACAACGTTAACATTCCTTGATCAATACGTATCTCAAGATTGCTTTTCCCTCTACTCCTGCAAATTGGCACAGCCTATATTGTGTACATAACATCAATCCCTTCTGAGGGTTAGTATCTAAGTCGAAGGTTTCCATTTCTGTAAGTAAAATTACTTGGACAATGCTCTAACTTTAAGAGAGCTGTTCTTCATGAAGTTCCCTTTCTTTAAACCATTTAGGATTTAATTGATAACTGCCGCCTCTGTTTTAGAAAGCAGTATTTACCTGACTGCTGAACATTTGCCTGTTCCAGCATGCCCTCCCCTCAAGGCTTATCTGCCATTTGATGAAAAACAGAGTAAAACCTTGATGAACTACTAGGTAACACTTCCTCCTCCTGTTCACAGTAGGTCTAACCCTGCTGCAAAGAGGCAGATTGCCACCGGTTACCCCATTAGTCAATTAAACTTTGTGACTCTGAAGTTACTGAACTAATGCAGACATTAGTGGTTTACAGCTGGTATTTGTGGGCAACATAATATTTTATGTTTCCTTTATAAAGTTTGGCAGCTGATTATGGCCTCACTAGTGGGTTTCAACTACAAAAAGCTAAACCTTAACATCTAATCTTGGTTGGCTTTCAAACACATCAGCATTCATAAGAACTGTTTGAAGCAA